CAATCTAAAATTGACGAGATGATTATCACGATGCCCCAAAGGATCAACGAACTCCACGAAGCAAAAAGAAGATCTACTAGATATTAATTAAATAATAAATATATCAATTCCTGTAAATATGACTGAAAAATTTCATTTTTTTATGAAAAGGTGGTGTCTATTTACTTGTGACCACGCTGTGTACACTGACTTGTAAGGTAGCCTATATATATAGTAATACACTTCTAGGGGACAATAGTATTGGTTGAGAAAGGGATTTTAAGAATATCATTAGTCCTACTATTCAAGACTAGTTTATATTTTGAAAAGAATATGGTTAAACAAATTTAACCATTCGTACTTGGTTTGAATAAATATAGCCAGTGTGCTACTCAAACCAATTAAGGAATAATTGGAGTTTTTAATGTTCTAACTACAACAAGGCAGAACTTTTATTGTCAAATAATCTGAAAGGCATCCCTGAGTTTATTTTTATGCAAAACAATTACCATTTAACCAGCCTTGCGAGTTGATATGTAAACGTATATTGTTGGAATCCATATTCACAAATGATCATTATGGGCGTTCGCAGGAAAATAAGAAACTTAATTATTTCTTTATTCATTCAGCATATACCTGCAACTATTCAATATGGCTTAAACTAACCTTAAAAATATCAAAACCATCAAATCTGACTGTGGGAGCGTGCCTATTCTCTTGACTGTAATGGCGAAACGTTGAAGGCGAGTCCATCGTCCCTTGATTTTGACTTTGCATCTCCCCTGGAATAATTTCTGTGGATGCCCATGATGATCATTTAGTACTAAAGACTTTTCAGTCCGATAAATCACAAGAAAAAAAAACGTAGGATCAAATCGGACACTATATGCCTCATTCCTTAATCAGAATTACTCTCAGTTCATCAACACTGATTAGATGTGACTTACCAAGCGTATTCTCAGATTATCCAACAGAGGTTTAGTTGAATTAAATGTCTGTGAACGAGCTGGCCTTCTTCTCCTAGGAAGTATCAAACCAGTTGAACGCAGTCGGGTAGACGTTATCATCTTTTAGAAGGAAGTTCTCATCAACTGCACCTGTATATGGCCATACTAATGGTTGTAAGACTGCATGCTTACATTGTATGGTATTCTTAGTGCCGTGTCATACCACACGAAGGTCAGTGATAAATGTGACTTTAAGTACTGATTCTTGGCTTACTCTTGTGCCAATAACGCCATATACCTACCTGTCTTTCGTCTTTATAGTCATATCTGGCTAGTCACCTTCCAAATACATATAAATATTATATTTGGTTGCAGTGTGAAGTTTGATTCGTCTATGGTCAAGACACTCACCCACGTCGTTTGACCTTTCCATACGTTTTTGACATTACAAGACAAGTTGTTTTGTGGTGATGGATTAGAGGAATGCACACTATGGCATAAAGGCTGACCTCATGAAACTTATTTCTGACCGATTGTATGCTGAGTTGCGGTATTTTCCACGGTAGTCTACGCTGCTCAGATTTCTAACCAATAGTATCTGTGATCTGAAACTAATCTTCATCCAACTAATCCCTCGTTGCGTTTGACTGGCTTCTATCTAACCCGTTATTCCGTAAGTCATGGAAATGTCTTCGTTAAGTCCTAGCGTGTTGGAATCAATATGGAGTTCCTGACACACATACTGCTGTCCTACAAACTACTAACTGAGAACACACTGTGATTTACTTACTTTTTGTGTTACTGAAATGTGTATATCAGATCACATTGCCAGTCATCTAACACTTGTTTTGTATAAAAATTAACTCATTGTGCCATTGACTTTACTTATCAATAGTAGCTGTACCTTCAAATAGCTGGAAATGTAGAAAAACCCTAATTTTTCCTTAATTCTTTGGATTAGTGCAATTATTATGCGCTCATTTTGTGGTCACTAAATGGTTAAGACTTTCGTGAAAAGGATTTTAAGAGGTAACTTAATATATCAAGATGACAGTTTAAAACGATTCACTCATTATCATGAATTATGATTTGTTTTTATACTTTGGCTTGTAGTAAAATAAAACTAAAGGCCTCTTGTGTTATCAACTTTTGTTCTCCCTGAACAACGTGGAGATATGAAACCAGAAACTAAAACAAATTGTGTTATCAACTTTTGTTCTCCCTGAACAACATGGAGATATGAAACCAGAAACTAAAACAAATTGTGTTATCAACTTTTGTTCTCCCTGAACAACATGGAGATATGAAACCAGAAACTAAAACAAATTGTTTTAAAAATAATTACAACATTACTATTCAGATAGATTACGGTTAAATGAATCAATTTGTTTTAGATTCTGGTTTCATATCTCCATGTTGTTCAGGGAGAACAAAAGTTGATAACATTAATCTCCATCTTGTAAATGTTTCCCACATATTCGTATAAAGATCATTTTATATTCTACTTAAATGCCATTCTTATTACCATCTTCCACCTGCATCTTCTTTTGGTATAGTCTTCCACCTGCATCTCATTCATATAATTATATTCCACCTGCAACTTCTTTTGGTATAGTCTTCCACCTGCATCTCATTCATATAATTATATTCCACCTGCATCTCATTCATATAATTATATTCCACTTTCTTTCAATTATCTCTCGCTTGAATGTGATCCTTGTTATTATATTTGATTGAGATATTATTATTATAATAATATTTTACTTAAATCTCATTCAAGGAATGGTCTTCCCTAGCTCGTAATCTCAATCTCATGATCATCCTACTATAAGGTAACATATTTAAAACAGAAAAGCATAAAAATTTAATTGCGAATTGATAAAAAAATTCATACTATATTTACACTCTTTCTGTTTCAGCCTGAAGTGGGCTTTAAACAGAATTAAACGAGTACCGCGCATCTATGATTATCCAAGTTAATAGAGTGGCCGTGATTTCCTTCAGACACGTGTAGTCGCGTCTGTTGTGAAAAGAAAAAATAGGATCACATTATTAACATTTTGCAGAAATTTGTAAATTCATCTGGATTGCGTTTATAAGACAGTTCACTACTAAGTTATACGTGAGTAATATTTTTTTCGACTCATAAAACAAAGACGGTAACATTAATCAAAAACCCTGTTATTCTATAGAAGCCTGGAGTCGTCATAACAGGGTTCAATTGGCTCTGTTTTTCATATGTCTGAGTTAAAAAATTCTTAGTTTAAGTACTTTTCAGAAAAGGAACTACACTACAATCTTTCCTTTTGGAAACTACATATTTGTCAATTGAATATATCTATATAAATAAACGTCAGTATGTGTGTGTGTGTACCTGTTCCTTATACGTTCCCACATTTCTTGGTCAATCATCACCAAACTTGACACAGTGATACAGGATGACATGAGGGGGGTTGGACCCTATCTAATTTCATATTGATAGAATTCTTGAAAACAGTATGTCTTTCTTTTCACTATTGGCACCTTTATGTATTTTATTACACTCTTAATGTTTATTATCTTAAGTTTGTTTTGTTGTTTTTGAAGTTAAGCACAAAGCTACACAATGGGCTATCTGTGTTCTGCCCACCACGAGTATTGAAACCCGGATTTTAGCATTATGTTAATAAAAAAGTAGAGGAACAATTTTTTATCCTTTGTTACAAACGAATTTTTATTTCACCCATCCAACGGACGGGTACTCCAGCTAGTATATTATAAAACAAGGATGTACTTGAAACAATTTACACAAGCTTACAAAAAAAAATCTATATGGGACAAATAACTTTTTTATAACGTTATATCTTCATCGATTTATCTTCATTTTGGCTAACTTTTTTAATGACAAATGAGCAAATCACTGTTTATTGTTATCTTCAATATTGGTAAAACAGGTTCAACTAACACAACCAGCTTGTAATTGTAAGTCACATTGAATAATGTGTCTTCTACGTCATTATCTCTTTATCCAATAAGAAAACTTTCCTTTAACACATAGGGTGCGATTATTTTATTTCAGTATTGTGGATTCTGGTAGATGTCAAGCGAATATACCTATTGAAAACACAATTTGCAAAGATAATGAAACACACTCCTGATGGACGCATATATTGTGTTACAGCTCTTGTTTCTTATTGCATCTTGTAAAGCTTCGAACAGATCAGCAGAAACACAAAGTAAGTTTATGTTTTCTCTTCATTCAAATAAAAATATCGTTAAGCATAAAATTTTTGTTTGTACGTTATAAATTATTAAATAAGGTATGAACTACAGAGTTATAATTAAAGTCACTTACAGAGAATAGTAGAACGAAAGCATATCGAAGTTTATGTTTATATAATAGCAGTACAAAGTTACAAATAAAGATTAATTTCAAATTTCAGCAAAACTATGCTTATACATAAACATAATGCACAAAATACGAGAATAATGTCATAAATATAGTTGTTTGACCAATAAATATTATTAAAAAACAACAATAGAATATTAGCATGATAAACAATAGCGAGATGCTGTAATTATATAATACTATTTTCACTAGACTGAAGAACGATGTTAAAATAATATTGTTTCCAAAGTACAGTAGTGATAATTACACAAAATAACTCTATTAATAGCGTTGCTTTTACAGGATGTTTGTAGTGTTGTTTCACAATACAGTATTAAAAATTTTATAAATAATTTTCCCCACAGGACAGCAGTATGATGTGATACTTGACGTGATTTCCACATTTTGGCAAGAGAAGAGCACTGTTATATTGAAATGTGCGTCCTACCAAGGTAGGGCTTTCATTTAGAAATATCTGCTTAGAACAGTAAAAGAGAGAAGAGCATCAGCATATCTATAGAGTCACCCATATTTGTTCTTAAGTAAAGACCCATTTACTTGATTTTTGAACTCCTCTCACAAATTCTTATAAATCGGGTTGGAATTTTGCTTGTATGCTCTTGATTCCCCATAGAATGTAAACGAAGAAAAAAGTTTCGAAAGAGTCGTTAAGAGAATCTAAATACCAAGAGGGGTTTTGGGACTCTCAGGTTTTACTGAACCGATTTACTTGAAAGCTGATATTAACATGTAAAGAGTCGTTAAGAGAATCTAAATATGGGAAATCAAGAGGGGTTTTGGGACTCTCAGGTTTTACTGAACCGATTTACTTGAAAGCTGATATTAACATGTAAAGAGTCGTTAAGAGAATCTAAATATGGGAAATCAAGAGGGGTTTTGGGACTCTCAGGTTTTACTGAACCGATTTACTTAAAAGCTGATATTAACATGTAAAGAGGCGTTAAAATACTGATACAGATTTTGGACATATTTAAATGAGAGATATAGTTGTCAAAAGAGCTTTTGGTGCTCTAAGGATTGGATTCACCAACTAACCATGAAAATTAGCGTAGACATGTAAGAGATCGTCCAAAATAAGTATATGTGTTTAGATTTTCAAAATTACCTTGATGAAGTCTTTAAATGCAGGATTAAGGGGCTTTAAGAGCTCTTAGGGTTAGCTGCATAGATTTACTTGAAAACTGACAAGAACACGTAAATGGTCGTCCAAAAGAAGATTTACATAATTTTCTTCGTGATTTTTCCAGTGAATTTTCATTGGTAATTTACTATTAAAGATATAATTCAAGAACATTTTGATTAGGTAACATATTGTGTTTAGGAAACCATTTAGCAAAACACTTTGAACATGATTCTATTTTTGAGTATTTTTTAAACGTTCAATACACACTAACTATATCTAAGGCTTATAATTGTTTGTAAGCATAGATGATAACTAAATTATTTTATTCAAAAGTAATAATAAAAGTCCCTTTCTTTCATTCAGTAAAGTCTTCTAAGTTCCTAATCGCTTGTGAAATGCTTTATTCCAGCTTTATTTAATAGTTTTTTCCAGGATTTTCCTTTTTACGTGGTATTTTTAATTGCTATTCATTGCAGAGAGACATAAATACAATGTTAGTCTAACACGCATTTTTTTTTCTTCAGAGATTTGGAACAGACGTAGCCCAACGATCAGCTAGTCAGGTTGCGGATCCAGGCTTTTAGGATTCTAACCGTGATACTTCGTTCAGCTGAGGCCACATTATAAAAGTGACAGTCAGTTTCGTTATTCAGCTCTAAGAGCCAGACAAAGTCCTTGGGATGACGGGTTCTGCTGATTGTCTGCCTTGCTTCTGGTCAGTAATTCAAAATTATGGAAGGCTATGCTTGAACCCTAGGGGTCTCCAACCTGGTATTTTTTTCATAGAACTTCTTATGAGTGATAAGATATTGATATTTTACTAGTTAAAGAAAAACTCCGGAAAGAAATGTCAAGAATAAAGCTGGCATTAAGCCTCTCTCCAATGAATAACTCTAGAAGATGTAAATCAACCACTAGAAATGTAGAAGACCTTATTGGATAAATTAAAAAGTCCGTGAATGGAATTTTCAACCTGAAAGGCACGTTATGTGCACGTGGGCTAAATGAATAATTAAGAAATAATGTTTGGGAGTTCTACATTAAAAATATCTTGCTTTTTTTGGTCAGAGTCAATGATTTTCAGAATGGCAAGTTTCTTTGCTACGAGGTTCTTACGGCCTGGTGGTTAAAACGCTCGACTCGCAATTTGAAGGTCTTGGGTTCGAATCCCCGTCACCCCGAACATACTCACCCTTTCAGCCATGGTGGCATTATAATGTGACGGTCATTCCAACGCTCCGTTAGTAAAAGTGTAGCCCAAGAGTCAGCGGTGGGTTGTGTTTAGAATCTGCCTTCCCTCTAGTCTATCACTGCTACATTAGGGACGGCTAGCGCTGATAGCCCCCGAGGAGTCTTGTGCAAAATTCAAAACAAAAAAGTTAGTTCATAATCTTTTCACCTTCTTTTCTCTTGAAAGGAAACTTCGACATCGATGATCTGACGTTAGCCTTGAATAGGCGCAGTTTTTCTTCTACAGTGCTGTCGGTGAAGAGCAAGACGAACTTTCGTCAAATCCTGCGATTGACGGAGGGTGTTTACAGCGGAAAACATCACCCACCAGTTGTAGTTCTTTGTAAGGATAGCTGGTTACCAACTTTAATACAGGAGGTATCGAGCCGCTAATATTCTCTTATATTTTTACTATAATAACTCTTACTTAAACATACCGTGTTGTTGTGTAGCAGTGGAACACATTATATTATGCATAAAAGTTTGTGTAGTTAAAAGAAGAAAGTGCACATATCAAGGTATTTATATAAAGTCTTATGGAGTTATTTAAACGTAATGATACGAAAATCGACTGAGAAAGTTCGCATTTGGAATGGAATGTTTACGTTAGTATTACGGCATGGTGTTCTGATTGTATGAATTTACCATTTATCAGATCGAGGATGTAGTTCAAGTTTTATATCACTTAAAGTCTGTACTCTAAATTTGCAAAATTGGTTACGTGGCTGTAAAGTAATCTTACGATAATCCAATTTTGTTTTTTGAACTCGGAACCTCTCACATGCCAAGCGAGTGCCGTAGTAATTGAACTAAAGAATTAACCCACAAACAATTGCTGGTAAGACAGCAATTCAAACTACTACATTCGTCCTTTCTCACGAAAAAAAACCCATGTTGGGCGCCACTTTTTTATGATTTATTCCTCCTAGTCACAGGAGTCGTTAAAAATTATTACATTTTGATTACCCTCCTAAAAAATTCATAGAACGTCATCCTAATTCTTATTATTTCACGAATTTTAAGAATGTAAAAAATCACACATTCATTTTGAAAAAGACCTTTCCTGGAATCTGATTAAATTATAATTTTCGAATTACTCTATTACCTTTCTCGACAACACGATCTGTAGAAGATTAAGATAAATAATGAAATACTGTTTAGTACGCGTGTTTCACATCTTGCTTTAAAACCGAAACCGAATCCTTGTGTTGAAGAATAACATTAATTTAGCATGTTGCTTATGGAAAAAAGGTAAGTTTGACTATCAGAAGAAGCTAAAGAACCAGAGTGCTTTTATTTACTGTATAACATACATGAATTATTGGTGATATAAATCTAGAACTCTCTAAAAATATTTGACAAATCATGGATTTATCTATAGAAATACAGATATTATAAAATCAATTCAAACACGCCATATTGATATCGTTACCAAACTAATGTTTTTTTTTATTAGTTATTGAAAATTGCTTTTAAATATTCTACAATTGTTCATTATAGTTATGCTATGATATGTCATTTTACTGATTTATTGATTAGTTCCTTTTTTATGTACGCAACAAGGTGCAAAAATATCCTATTATCAGAAGAAATGCCTACTGGATTCTGTTCAGGACAAATAAAGCAAAATCGTTAGCTAGTTTTCTTCCAAACGGGATGTCGCTTTTTTGTCAAAAATTGGTAATCATCCAGCGATTGGTGAAAGTCACAGATAGCAAGGTAAGCAACACGTGAAACAATCTCTAACTAAACTAAAGCATGCTGAGACAGAGATAAACAGCACAGAATGGAGTTTAATGAAAAGGTAAACATCAGAATCTAGTTTAATGACAAAGGAAGAACAGTTTAATGAAAAAGATATACGACTGTCTGTTTATTGAAAATGTTAACAACAATGGGAAATAGTCTATGACAATGTATACAAGAATGAAACGAAGTTCAGTGACAAGACAAACATAGTGGGGTGTAATTAGTTATGCTTGTCATAAGATATTATGTTAAGCCTATTCCTTTTTTAACACTGCACTGTTAATCTAGTCCTTTGGGGATTTTCAAGAGTTAGAAGAGTGTATAATAATAGTACTTTGACCACACTGTATTAAACATATCCATTGCTGACGACGCGTTTCGTTCAATCCAGAGCTCTTCAGGCTGGCTGGGACACAACGAACATAGTAGTACATATTTACATAGGCAAATATAATTAATTACAATCATATTTTGCGAGCCTGTAAAAGGCAATCACACAATAACAATAGTGTGGTGTAGTTTAATGAAAAGAAAATAGATTAATAACAAGATAAGAACAAAAATGAAATGTTGTATAAAGGTAAACATGATAAGGAGTAGCAGTGTATTTTAATGACAAGGTAAACAATGAAATGTTGTATAAAGGTAAACATGATAAGGAGTAGCAGTGTATTTTAATGACAAGGTAAACAATGAAATGTTGTATAAAGGTAAACATGATAAGGAGTAGCA